TCATCTGCGGATGGTACGCAGTGGTTCGACGGTGGCTCGTGCTACTAAGACGAAGGATTTCTTGCATCAGCTGGGCCATGAACGACAATCCACAGTCTGTAATGAGGACTTTGGGGGGCGCCGGGCTGGAGGACAAAGGCCTCAATGAAACACTTGGCGACTTCAACAGCCGTACCTGATGGGAGGGCTTTTGTATCGGTGTACCGTGCAAGAAAATCGGTCGTGACAATTATCTATGAGTTTTGTGCGTCAATGGTGGGGACGATCCAAGTAAATCCATTCCGATTTGTTGGAATGGGGCAGATGGCAGAGTAATAGGCTGAAGAAATCCTGCTGGTCTCGTCGGTAATTTCTTCCGTCGTTGACACTTCTGGCAAGATCGGGTGTAGTGGGGGACTGTCTTCGCCAGCTTGGGTCAGTAGTACATCTCGCGTATCCTGGCAAGAGTCCTGTTGTAGCCAAGGTGTCCAGCCGTTGGGTCATTGTGGCATCCTTGGAAGATTTCTTCTTGAAGGGTGGAAGGAATAACCAACAGCCATGTTGTGTTGTTGTTGATGGAGTTATTGTACAACATCCCTTGCCATATATACAAGGTAGGCAGGATTCGTGAGAAAGCACAGGAAACCATACTCGCCTATCTCTTTAGGTCAGTGGTCTCAAACCCATTCGAGTGTGGGGGCCAGATATCCCACACCGAAAAGGAAGGTCGGGGGCCAACGTAAGACTTCACTAATTAACCTTGATGCCGACTGTACACTGGTAGAAATGGGGGGGGGGTTAAAGAGACACTAACACCTCCCAAATTTTTTTTTTTTTTTTTAATTTTTTGCCAGGCGCTTTATTATGGTGTCGGAGGACTACCCAATTAATATGTTGCAACAGGGTAGCGTATATTTTTAATAAAGCCAAAAGACGCAACTGCTCGAAACCGAAACCGTAACCAGCGCACAGAGGTCGGAGAAGTGGAGAGGAGAGAGTGAGTGGCAGAAGTTACGTGGCTACACCTGACCGTGCGTTTTTTTTTTTCCCTTTGCGTAGCAGACGACATGCCTGGCGGCATTGCGGGAACTGTTTGTTGTGCGATTCTTTTGCAGTTAGGTTTGCTCCGCTCGCTGTTCTGTACTTCAAGATGAGTTGTTTTGTATATTAAGGAGTTGGAGATGAGTAGTGAGTGTTTGTGGTGAATTTCCATGATCGGCTCCGAAAAGAATACACCCAAGATGTTGCGTGAAGAGCTGGCTCACATGTCCTGCACCCAAAAAAAAAGTGGCATTGTGTGACAGAGTTGCCGAAAGATCAACGGGATCAGGACCAATGACGGGCTGAAATTCCTGTAAAACACTTACAGGTACCTCGGAAAGTGGACGCTACCTGATTTGTATGCTCCTTGTATTTTGTGGAAAGTGATTCCATTGAGTTCGCAGGTGTCAAAAAGGAAATCCCATACCATTTAGTTCAGCGACGTTTCGTCGACAACATTTGTTTGTTATTTTTTTGTTTGTTTCTTCAGTGATAACTATAAAAAAAAAAAAGAAATGTAAACATCGCAAAATGTTTGAAAAAAAGAAAAAAAGGTATGCTTTCCCTGGGGATCGAACCCGGTCCTGCCGCGTGTGAAGCGGATGTCTTTCCACTGAGCTAATGGGGGAACTCTTTGCTCAGTAATAATACAGCCGGTAAACTCTAAGTTGGAAAGTTTGCTGCCGATTTCCCTCCCGCAAAAGCACTCCCGGGTCGAAGTCGGGAAGCGCCACGCATTGGTGACATTCTCACCTAGTAAAGAAATCGTACGCATGCATATTCAACTCGAAGAACACACTTCGTGCTTGACACTTGCGCGAGAGAAGTCTTCAGTCATGAGAAGGGAGCGACGGCTCGGCGACGTCTTCGTGCAAATCGGCTTGGTGGTCGGGCGTGTCGTACGGGATTAATACCAATTTTTTTCATCAGACCCAAATTTCTCTTTTAAAGGCAGACAGAATTTGCGGTACCGCGAGCGACAGTTCTGAAGTAGAGGTCCCACGCCCGTCGTCCGCTGCCATCGCCGTCCCCGCGAGTCCCACAACATGCGAAACGACACACGCACAGAATGCTTCCAGTTCTTTGTGGAACTTTTTTTTTTTTCTTTCAATCAACATATTTGCAGCTCTTTAAAGGCCACCAAAAATGAATTTCATATTTTTTTTTTTCTTATTTTTAATAATGAGTGTGTGCCTTCAGTGACCAGCGACTTTGATTAAATTTGGTGGTCGCGTTGAAACCTTAAGAAACGGCCCGTGACCACGGAAAAGAGAGTGAGCGAGACTCGAACCGGCCAGTTTTTGATCGACGGTTTTCAGGCAGAAAGAAACCGAATTTCGAGCCGCAAATTGTGTCCTGGGTAGTTGGGCTCTCATACGTCGTGTACAACTAAAAACCTCGGCGAGCTTTGATACCCTGTCAGTGTCCCTTTAAAATATTTAAAAGGGAAGAGACCTCGTGCTCTATGCGTTTCTAAACTCAGTTTTTCCAGTGACATGTTTAGATTTGATGTGTTTATTTGGCTACTTCGGGCCCTGACCTGATGAGATAAAAAGAATTAGGATAATAATGCCGTGTCAATGTGCCGCCATTTTTAATAGAACAAGAGGCCAAGTACCTGATTGTTCCCATTGCTCAATTCACTCAGAAATTAACCCAGTTCAACATGTCCCTAAAGAAACAATAAGTTAATTTGATAGTTCTTGTTTTCCTGATGATTTTTATTACAACACACTGAACAAATACTTGTCTTTTAATGGTGATATTGCTTTAAAGGTTAGAATTCCGAGCTCATAGCTTTATCTTTGGCAGTTGCTCCTGCTGATAGAGAGTTCGTGCAGCCAAGATGCGTTCTTCAAGGAAGAACTCGCGCTTGCAGCCTAGTAGAGGAATTGTTGTACATAAGAAAAAGCTGGGTAGCAAAATATAATGCGAAACAAAGGGAAAGTGAACACAGATAAGTATGAACTGTGTGAACAATAAAAGAGCAGAGCTACTATAAGTATGAACTATGACAAACGTTATAACAGCAGAGCTACTTTTCGAGAAAAATTGAGTCGGCGAGATGAGAACACTATGGCGCATCCGAAAAACCAACGCTCGAGACATGGGAACAGGGATTCTTAGCCGGCTGCCTGCGGGTCGCGTCCCAGCGAGTCGCGGGCCGCATATGGACTGCAGGTTGCGTGTTTGAGACACCTGCTCTAGGTGCTCGATGAGTGCTCGCAGTTCAGGGTCGTCTCGTTGGAGTGCTACCATGTCGCTGACATCCAGGGCGCTGAGGAAACGCTCGCCGTCGTCTTCGGTGCAGGCAGGATCGACCTCGACAGGAGCCCTTGACAGGCAGTCAACGTCATTGTGCTTCCAAACAGTCTTGTACACCACGGTCATGTCGAACTCCTGCAGTTGTAGGCTCCACCGGGCGAAGCGTCCGAAGGGGTCCTTCAGATTCATCAGCCAGCAGAGCAAGTGGTGGTCTGTGACCACGCGAAAAGGACTTCCATACAAATATGGGTGGAACTTTGTTATTGCCCAGACGACAGCGAGGCACACCTTTTCAGTCGTTGAGTAGTTCCCCTCTGCATTAAACAGCATCCGACTGGCATATCTGATGACTCGCTCTGCCTGTTCTGCCTTTGGACTAGTACTGTGCCAAGTCTGGCGTTACTGGCATTCGTGTATACCTCTCTTTCAGCAAACTGGTCAAAATGGCCAAGAATCAGGGGCATCTGGAGTCTTCGTTTGACTTCATTGAATTTATCGCTGGTGTTCTTCTGTCCACTAAAACTTTAAGGCGTCCTTCGTGAGGTGCCCCATGGCTTCGCCATGTACGAGCACGTTTTCAAGCTCGTTGTAAGGAAAACTGACTCGATGCAAGCTCTGCATGTTGTGTTGTGCTTCAAAACGTCGCAGAGTGTCTCTTTTGGCGCTCACAATTGGTTGATTGGCCGATTTTGGCTCAGGCAGCGCTTCATCTCCTCAGCCTATCAGTGCCCAGTGTTAGCGTTGAGAGGGCATTCTTGAAGCTCAGGGTCATATTAACAGGAAGGAAAGAGTGCGGATCAATGAGGAGAACCTGGGGAAGTACATGTGTGTGTATTATAATAAGATCATGTAATCCTGATGTACAGAGGGTGAAGTTCCATGTTTTTTGGGCATAGGCTTCATATCTGACTTGTTTGTACTTCTGTTTTTTTCTTGTTTTTTTTTACAGTTGCATACATTTGCCAAATAAAGTGTTTACTTCTTTTTCAATGTATCTGTGCCGTTTTGAGTGATCACAAATATCAGAGCTACAAGGATCATCTGATTCGGTGTCCGTTGGTGTTTATTTTATATTCACCAAAAAAATCCGACAAACTTTTGTAAGCAAAAATATACGCCGAAAAAAAATAATTTAATTTTAAAATAAACACCAAAAAAAGTATGCCGAATTTTGAAAAAAAAAAAAAATAAATAAATAAAAACCGAAAATGCGGAACCCTAGTTATAATCAATGTTTGAACTGTCTCTATACACAGCTCTATAGTCACTGACAAGGTAAGAACAAAAAGGAGGATGTTGAGGACGTTCAGTTGTCCCGCCCCAATTGTGAGTTTTCTACCTTCAATGACACTTCGGCATCCCGTGCTACCTCGAGCGTGCGTGAGCAGCCAAACCACGGCGGAAGGCTTGGGGTGTGTGCTGTATTCACTCATGCTAGATCCAATCACGTTGGAGTTACTTCACGGCCAAGTATTTTTTGGAACCAAACGGTAGCACAGTGATGTATGTGCTCATTTCTAATATATTTTTCAAGTAGATGTTCAGTTATTAAAGGTTTATGAAACTAGCCATATTCCTGTCCATCGAGACCTTTGCAGCGAGTTATCTATGTGAATGCTTACAAGCGCTGAAAAGAAAAACAAGGAGCTCCGTTTCGAGTCCAAGTGGACGTGGCTCAATGGGCTATCCTGGCAACACTCGTGCAACCCACCCACCTGGTGTGGTGCTCGAGATCTCGGAAGCCTTCCTTGAAGTCCTTGGCCACTTGCTCCGAGTACTGGGCATCAAACAGGTCCCGGGCCGTAAACTCCCCCTGGCACACCTCGGCTGCCCGGTACGACACGTACGGCTTCAGCTGAAACGGACAATCACTCAACCTGCAACGCTGAAACCGGCCGCCCCGTTATTTCATTATCTCCAGAACACAGCGTTGCCAATACAGACTGATTGAAGAGACACCCGGGAACATGCTTTCGTGTGCGACACCACACTTTTGCTACAGCACAAAAAAACATTATTCGTTCAGACTTCTGTCAAATTAAATTCTGTGATCCAGCAATCGGATCGCGGAATTTGATAACCTTGCGTTTAACAGACGCATGAAAAACGTTGGGGTATGAAAAACGTTGGGGCAATAAGTCCACATGAAAATTTTCCGACAAAGTAGAATAATATACAGTCATTTGCCACGACACAAAGTGGCTGTCATGTCATTAGTCGCCCGTCCTAAAAACTCGAAGGATGCCCTAGCTTGTTGCTTATCACCTTAAAATAGCCTACTGTAAAATCCCGTAAGGGCGCCCACCTAAGACGAGGAGATAAATGGTGAGAAACATGAGGTGGGCTGTCTTCAAGGATGAGACAGCAAACTCTATCAAAAAAAATTACAAGGGGCGCCTGCTACAAACCATGTGACACGGCAACTGATACCGCAGATCATGGACACGGCAAATTAGCGATTCACAATGTGATGAACACTCGGGAATTCGCTATGAACTCCTGTGTCATGGGAAAGGATACTGTGCGCGCAGATCGTGAACAAAAATGCGGGAACCCTCTGCGAACTCGTTTGTCACATGCACGGGTAACGCAGATTGCCCGGTTGATGTGATTCCCATCAGACACCGTGTGATGCACAGCGGGAATCGGGGGGAGGGGGGGGGGATGTTTCAAAATTTTTAGCCAAAAAACCGGGATGAGCGATCTCTTGGGGGGGGGTGCCCTTATGAGATTTTGGCAGTGTCACATACTGAGCAAGCACCCACTCTAAATTGGGAGATAATAGTGGAAAACTGGGGATGGGCAATCGCCAATTCCGACAGCAAAAATGCAGAAGGTGCACACGGTCAAGTGGGTCCTTGCTTGGTACAATCATTAATTTAAGAATGGCCGCCGTTTGACAAGTTAGTCGATCGCACCAACGCGTAAAAATAGAACGTTGGCGTTCCTTTCAACGAAGAAAAAGTGCCCTATGGGGTAAATAGTCCGAGAAATTTGTTTTTACAGTGATCAATTACTCATTGACTTGTCTTTGCCACTAAAGCCTTCGAATGACTGTTCCGAGTAAGAACAAAAAATTCCGAGGACACCCAAAGCACTTCTTACAAGCTGCGATTGCATAAGCATGAATGTTTCTCTTCCGCTCCCTTAGTTTGTCAGCGGTGTACTGGCATAGACGGCCATGTTTCGCTACTGCCTAGGTTGCGGCCACCGACGATATAGATGCCTCAAGTGCTGCAATGTTCCTCGGCGCCGAGAGGAGCAGAAGCAACCGCAGCCTCCCCCCCCCCCCCCAACCTTGACGACAACTGACATGAGAGCAGAGGCCGAGTGCGCTCCTTCCTGGCGTGCCGGCCGGAGCGCCAAGAAGAGGGCCACTCTGTGCGGTGGCGTTCCTTGGAACTATGATGCGTCCCAGCCAATGGCTATCTAGGAGCCGTTTCGCTGGAAATTTCTTTTCACGTTTTGTGCGGTTTTGCACGGTCACAGACGGCGCCGGCTCCTGAGACTTTCTTGCATGTTTTGTGCGGTTACAGACACCGCTGGCTTCTTGTACTTTTTTCACGGTTACAGACGCCGCCGGCTCCACTCCATGGGACAGTTAATGCTTCCGCATTAAAAGCAACCCACTTTTTTCACGGTTACAGACGCCGCCGGCTCCACTCCATGGGACAGTTAATGCTTCCGCATTAAAAGCAACCCACTTTTTTCAAGGTTACAGACGCCGCCGGCTCCACTCCATGGGACAGTTAATGCTTCCGCATTAAAAGCAACCCACTTTTTTCACGGTTACAGACGCCGCCGGCTCCACTCCATGGGACAGTTAATGCTTCCGCATTAAAAGCAACCCACTTTTTTCACGGTTACAGACGCCGCCGGCTCCATTCCATGGGACAGTTAATGCTTCCGCATTAAAAGCAACCCACTTTTTTCACGGTTACAGACGCCGCCGGCTCCACTCCATGGGACAGTTAATGCTTCCGCATTAAAAGCAACCCACTTTTTTCACGGTTACAGACGCCGCCGGCTCCACTCCATGGGACAGTTAATGCTTCCGCATTAAAAGCAACCCACTTTTTTCACGGTTACAGACGCCGCCGGCTCCACTCCATGGGACAGTTAATGCTTCCGCATTAAAAGCAACCCACTTTTTTCACGGTTACAGACGCCGCCGGCTCCACTCCATGGGACAGTTAATGCTTCCGCATTAAAAGCAACCCACTTTTTTCACGGTTACAGACGCCGCCGGCTCCACTCCATGGGACAGTTAATGCTTCCGCATTAAAAGCAACCCACTTTTTTCACGGTTACAGACGCCGCCGGCTCCACTCCATGGGACAGTTAATGCTTCCGCATTAAAAGCAACCCACTTTTTTCACGGTTACAGACGCCGCCAGCTCCACTCCATGGGACAGTTAATGCTTCCGCATTAAAAGCAACCCACTTTTTTCACGGTTACAGACGCCGCCGGCTCCACTCCATGGGACAGTTAATGCTTCCGCATTAAAAGCAACCCACTTTTTTCACGGTTACAGACGCCGCCGGCTCCACTCCATGGGACAGTTAATGCTTCCGCATTAAAAGCAACCCACTTTTTTCACGGTTACAGACGCCGCCGGCTCCACTCCATGGGACAGTTAATGCTTCCGCATTAAAAGCAACCCATCTATTACTATCTACCTCCTTTCAACTATGCACCCCTCGTCCTCCTGCTCGCCGCTTCTCCCATGCTATTCCCATGCTGTCCGCCGGTCGCGGAGATAACAACCACCCACGGCGACTGGGCACTTGATGTATCTTTCACATATGTATGAACTTGCGCTTAAAATAAGGGAGTGGGCCTTTGGTATGTCCTTTGATGAGTTTTGAAATGCTTCAAAAGTAAGGGGCGAGCACTTACTGTGACATAGGTACACGCTCGGTACTTTACGGTATGTATCCCAGCCGTGTTGGTAGTGCCAGTCAGCGCTCTACGCTGGCTCGGCCTACAAGAGCTCCTTAAGAGTTCTGTGTTGCGTCAACGCTGCGAGCAAATTTGTCTGCTTCTTGTGCAGCACAGTGCCAAGCTCTGATGGGAGGGATAGTGGGTAGACATAAAGGCCTTTGTTTTTGCCCATTGTGTCCTATCAATCAAAGCGAGCAAGATCGTTGCATGCTCCTTGCACAGAGGAAGTAGTGGCGTCAGGGTCAGACGTCCGGGTTTCTGCTGGTCCTGGCAATGGCATTCTTACCTTTTCCATGTCTTTTGGAAACCCACCAGTTCTTTATGAATGAGGACTTGGCCTTTGAGAAAGGGGAGAGGAAATAGCTCGAAGGGGTTCTTGTTTTTGTTGACTAGCAATTACCAGATGCGCAACGAATGAACTTGTGGCCAAGATGCCGTTTGCTCCCATGCCACCGAAGAGTTGTGGGAGTAGAGCTTCATCACACATGTGATCACTCCCTCTCAATGCACCTCGTCCCTCAAACGAGCTCCCTTTCTCATGCGTGCACGTTTTGGCATGACGTCCTCGCCGTATGAAGGCAAAGAAAAGGGGGGACACATGCAAAGGCGGCAAGGTATAGTTCACAACTTACCTGGAATCCCTCCAAGTCCGGAACCACCAGCTCAGGCTCCATTTCTGGAACCATCTCCAGGCGGTTACCTCGCTCGATTCCGGGTTCACGGTAGCCATAGGCTGCCGAGGAAACAGACACCGATGCTAAGTCCAGAGTCACACAGTGAAACATTGTTCATTCCATATAAATAATCGTAAAAGTACATGGCACACAACTGACTTTTTAGAAAGACGGCTCAGTTTAAAGTAAGTTCTGTTGACATGGGGATTAAGAAAAGATGGTTGAAAAATTAATCATAGCAAGATACTTCAGTTGAGATAAAGTGTCGCTCCTACTCCCTCGTTTATGCCCTATAGTTAATGTAACTGGTCAATATCATTTACCGTAAAATCCTGAGCAAGCGCTCACTCAAAATTTTGAGATAATCATGGAAAACTGGGCAATGGGCGATTTTTAGCTAAACAATTTGTAAAGATATGTCCTTTGTGCATTTTCCAAATGTTACAAAATTGAGGGGTGGGCGCTTATCGTGGAATGGACAGAGGCTCGGTATTTTACGGTATGTTAAATTCCGGAAAAAATCTGTTAAATCCGCTAAAATGCCTATGTTCCACCATGATTTTTGAACCTACAGGACTCAAGTATCTAATATCACAAACTGCAAAACTGCAAACACCCCCCCCCCTCCCCCCCAAATATTACCAAAAACCAGGAATTAAAGTTGAGCTTTAAAAGTGACACTCTTAATTCTGAAAGAGTTGGCACCATTGGAGCCATTTCGATCGACTGCTGCTCAGGAATTACCTCATCTAGTCATTCAAATATCGATCCATATTTCTTTTTTGCTTTCCTTTCTCAAAACCGCTCTTTAAAACTGGAGGTCGACCTACTATCGAGACCAAAAAAGGTTGACCTGTAATTAGTACTGAGCATTAAGGGTGGGAAAATAGGCTGTGAATCGAATAGTGCAGAGTCATTCTTGGCTTCAACTTTGCAATAAGAGCCCCTATGTCGACGATTTCTCCAGCACTGTAACTGCGAGAGCTATGAATGACGCAGTGCTTTTCGATTCAAACCGCTCTTCGCCCATTTCTACTGAGCACAATTCCCGAGGGCATCGTGCAAACCCACGGGTGTTCCCCAGGTAAGTCACTTCTCCTAATGCACCAATGAAGAGCGCCGACGCTCGATGCACGTGCGCCTGCGCTGATGATTGACGTGAACGTCCATAGTGACATGGGGTGGCCGAGATGAAAATCAAGTGATTTCATTAGGAGAATTCACCACATTCGGCGGGAGTTGGTACCCCGAGGGCGCCACAGTATTTGGTGCCTCAGTAAACTTCCGGTAGACCATGTATTTATTCGCCAACAACGGACAGTGATCGGGTAAGAAGATTTTTCTCCGGAGAAGTACCTGCTATACGTTTGTAAGAACCCGAGCGCTTTGTAGACCGTGATACAAATCACAAAAGGATGTGAGAGAAAAGGAAAAGAAGAAAACCGGAAACGCGCAGGGGTCCGCCGATAGCGGGCTGTAGCGAGCTTGTTTGCAAACAAAAACCGGTGAATAAGACCCTTGTACCGTCTTATCACAGCAGCTGCCATACCCCCATTTTATTCATTTTTCTTGAGACCTCAAGCTCCGTGACATTGCCAACATCATTGTCTGGAAGTTCAGACGATGACGCGGCCAGCACGGTAGATGAGCGAATTTTAGCTATGGTGAGTAGAGACACCATGAAATACTGTAAACCAGGAGTCAGCAACACTTTGCAGTGGCGGGCCGAGCCAACACAAAGGGGGCCGCATGGCAAGTCTCAAACGGGCGAGAGTGGGGTGGAATGGGGTGGGGTGGGGTGGGGGGCAGAGGAAGAAAAAGCAAAGAGGAAGTGAAGACGTTCTTCGTCCAAGTATGGTGATGCATGCCAGACAATGCCAATTCGGAAGTGCTCTTTGTTCCTGTCTAACCTCATTTGAGGTCAAATCTGCCGCATGGTCCTGGAGTTTGTGTGAGAAAGCGGCAAGGGGGGGGGGGGAGGGGGGAGGGTCCTTTCCCGGTATCGTGCCAGCGGCAGCATGCGGCCCGTGGGCTGCCGACCCATGCCGTGAACTACTTTATTTTCGCAGGCTCAATATTTAGAGAATTCAACAAAGGGTGGTATTTAGAAATATTTTGCAGGCTCAAAGTTTTGAACATACTCGTGGGACCTATTCTTCACGAATCACATACTCATGGGACCAATTCTTTACGAATCGTAGGCGTTTTGCAAAAATTTATGGGGTCCTCACGAAATTTAAGTTGTTTACAGTACACATTTTTATTATTTGTGTAGACTAATATTAAATTATTTGTTTGCTTTGTTTAAGCTCATCTTGGCACAGGTGCGATGCAATATTGAGCAAAAACAGAATTTAAGTGCGACATGTAGCAGACGTGTGTTCATGGTGCAATTTGGCGCAGCACTTCCATCACTGAATTCATAAGGTTGGTATCCCAAGGTAACACAAAACATTAACTCTTTTTTACTGTGAATGTCAACAGTATTATTGACATTATTCCTGTTACATGGGTCATTAATAAGGAGGCTTCAAGAGGTTAGTTCCCATTTGCTATGTATGTTTTTTTTTTTTCCTTCATTATGTCTATTCTCATTTCTAGCGAGTGGGTTCATAAAAAGATGTTTCTCCACTCGGCAGTACTCCTCGCTTGTAATCGAAGCTGTTCTCAAGACAGCTCTGCAAAGTTCAGTACTCATTGAAGAGTCGGAAATACACAGGCATGTTTGTTTGCCAAGATGGCCGCACAACGCAACACATGTAGTCAGAGAATTCTCAGCATATTCCATGAAGCAATGTTTGCAGCTCGAAAATGCATCGGAAAAGGAAGAACAGAGAGGTTAACCTAGGTAAACAGTCCTGGTTGGCTACTCTGTTCTGGGGAGGGCGCTGTGGGGAATTAAAAGAGAATGGAAAGGATAGGAAAATATAAAACATTAAACATGTCTAAAAAAGAAATAAAAAGTAACACGAGAGCACAAAGTATAAAACACATCACAAATCAAGTACATGTGTTGCAGAAGTTCAGCCGCGTTTCCTTTAGGAAACGCAGAAAAGCTTTTGTGGCCCTCGCTGCATTGTGAGGGCTGTCCCAGGTGCTGAGCACTTTCATGAGAGAAAATGGTCGACTGTCAAGTTGCAACAACACACTCTTGAGGTCTTCTCCTTTCCACATTGTATATTTGACAGTCACACAATATGTGAGTAATTGTTTCATCACATTCACACGTTAGACACTCCGATGTTCTGGCTTGCCCAATGCGGTGAAGGAAAGACTGTGTATAAGTGACACCGAGCCGGAGGCGATGTACAACTGCCTCCGTACCCCGGGGAAGATCCCGTGGAAGTTGAAAGGCGAGAAACGCAGCATCTAGCTTGCCACGAGTGAAACATCGTCCATACAGCGGTTACCAGCTGATGGTGCTGCAGCGGTACGGACAGGACAATGTTTCGGTATGGAAACCCTTAACATGAGAGATATGCAGAATTCGTTTGCAAAGATCCTTTTGAGAACATGCCACCGACAATGCAAGTGCTCGGAATGGGTGATATTGTTGAGCAGGAGACTTAAGGCTTCGAGCTACTTTCCAAAGTGCAGAGAGTGGCTTTCGTGGATGAATACTTTCACAAAATCCCCTGTATATACATTGACCCGGCTTGTCAAAATGGCAGCTTATTTTTTTCTGTTGATTTTTTGCCACGCAAATATAGTCTTTTTGTTAAGTTCGTCGAGCACTCCTCTCCGTCTGTCGACATATTGCTGGAAGACGTTCGTACTCCCTGTCAATAGCCGTTCGTTTAAGTGGAAGGCTATGATTATGGGTCGATGAGTTTGGAGTCAATGACAGCTTTTTCAAACTCCGGAAGGTCAGTCAGCGTATTGCATTTAGCTCTCATCGACTGCTCGAACTCCCACCAAACAACTCGTTTGACAACATGATTTTTCTTGCCTGTGATTAAACCCTGTATAATTGTGTATGTAGGGATAAGGTCATTGCCACGTGTTTCAATATCTGTGAACCAAATAGCTTGAGACGCAACAGCAAACGAGACAAATGACGAATCCAGGCAACTGCTACTCTTTGCACCCCGGAGGTATGTAGGACTTCCATCATTTAATAGGGATAAATGATGGGTATGTGCTATGTCAGCAAGGCACCTACCCCGAGGATTTGTGCAACGGCTGCCCCATATACAGTGGTGTGCGTTAAAATCTCCAGTGATTATATGTGGCGATGGGACTGCGCTCAGGATGTTCTCTAAGCGTGCTCTGTCAAATTTGGACTTTGGAGGTATATATGCTCCTATAATTGAATGAGAACATATATTTTTCATCAAAAATTGTAGCACAAACATACTCATTGTCCGGATGGGATGGGATAATATGTGCCGCGTACGCGAGTTCTCTGCAAATGAATAGTTACGTGACTTTCCCCCGTAGTACGTAAGAAGTCAAACTTTTCGTGTCCTGATAAACGCATGTTGCTCGGTAACCTGGACTCACATATAACAATCATAGGGTACTTGTACCTGAAAGCCAGCTGTCTAAAATCGGACAATCGGGATCTTAATCATCTTGCGTTCCATTGGAAAATAGTGGCCTCTTTATAATTATCTTCAATTGCACCCAATGTTATTTTGAATTTTTTTTTCCAAGAATCATTTGAAGCCACAAGCAGGTGTTCCATTGCGACAAAAGCTTATACTTCTAGCAGGTTGTTAGCGTCTGGTGATGTTTTTAGGGTGGCCTTTAGTGCTGTGAAGAACATTGGTAGCAATACTTGACATATATCCCTTTGCTAGTGGGACGTAAATTGTGGCGTAGGCACGGATTCCGAAGAAGTCGACGGACGATGGTTTGCTGAGGATCGAACGTTCGCTGTTGCATGTGCCACATCCACAGTCGATGTTTGGGCAAAAGTCTTCTTTTATTGTGTCACACTGTTGCTACGTTTCTCTGCAGTCATATGTGCCACACATGCTTTTGGACGACGTTTTACTGCATTGGCGTATGTAGGTTTCTCTAGTTTTTCTCGTTGAGTTGGCGACAGCGTCGGGAGCTAAACGACCTCTGGGTTAGGTGAAGGCGCACGGCGCCTAAGAGCTTGGCCATTCATTATGCTTGTGCAAGCTGCTGCGGTTGCTGTATGCTTCCATGGGCAGCAGGAGAGGGATGCCGAGTGCTTGCCGTCACAATTGGCTCACTCTGGTTCTTGTTTAGAATTGCAGTTCTTGTGGTGATGCGGTCCAGCCAGGGTTCGTACAGAATTTTCTATGTGAAATGCAAGGACTTTTCAAGGATTTCAAGGGAATCAGAAGACAAAATTAAAGGAAAGTTCGAAGAAATTTATTCCCTGGTTAAGAAATAAGCTCCTTTTAGTGAGAATTTCTCGCTCTACAGCAGCTATAGCTGCTTCCTTTTCTTTTACTGTTCGGTGAATACTATTAGCCTTGGCCGAAAGTGTCAAGTCATTCTTCGCTTCAGCATCTTCATAGAAGCAATCCGCCGACTCGAGCAGGCACTTCAGGTTTTTCTGGAGTTTCAACTTCCTCTCATGGATTTTCTCCAGCTCCATTTCAACTGCTTTTCTCTTCAAAATTTTCTGCTTACTGGCAGCTTTTTTCTTGAGCTCTCCCAAGTATGCAGCATACTCCTGCCTTGCTAGGCGTTCAGAGGACTTTAACTCCTTAGACAGTGGAATATTGAGCAGGCCACCGTGGTTTTCGATAGCGTCACAGATGATCCGCTGAGAAACATGAAATCTATGCCAACACACTCAAAGGCTCACCAACACAATCCTCAACACACTCAACACAAAGCCATGCTCCCAGACGGCGCGGCCCCATTTATGCATTTGTTGGAGGATTTTCAAGGAATACAAGGATTGTTTCAACTTTCAAGGATATTTAAGGGTCCTTAAAAGGCTTTTAACGAAATCCCGAGTATTCAAGGATTTCAAGGAGCTCTATGAACCCTGGGCAGGGTACATTGCAACATTGTGGGCCTCGGCAATATTTGGCAACACGGCCATATCTCTGGCATTTGAGACACTGAACCGGTGGTCCACATACTCTCCGACGGGGTGACTGGTGAAGTCACCCCGTCGAAGACACGCTGGGGCGTCGGGCGGTCCAGACGAAACACGAGGAAAATGCTTCCAGAGGGTCACAGTTCGACAGTTCCATCCTCCTTGCGCAGATAGGCAACTTGTCGTTACACGGATGTTGCTCCGGCGTCGAGAAAATACTCGAGGAGTGCAATGTCGAAATACTCAAGGCACATTCTCAATTTTTCCTAAATTTCTTGAGTATGTCTGTGGCACGGTTGCAAACACCTTGATGTTTCCTATGGATTGCAGTGTCATTAGTTTGTTTGTGGATCCAAGTGATGCCACAGTCACAGAGAGGCTTCCATCCTTGTTAACCTTGTGTGACAATACCTTTTCTTGCGTGACCGCAACAATGTCTTTTGCAATTGAATTTGGGTTCACGTTCCAAAATGACGATTCAGGTGATGTCGGCTTGAAGATGACCGGAATTCCAGATGATCTGTTCTTATGATATGACACTTTGATGATCGGCGTAGAGCCATCTTCGTCGTCCATGTTGTGAACGGATGATTTGTCCTCATCTGCTTTGGATATTTCTTCTGTACGCACTCTCTTGGGTGGAATCTGCGAGGACATCTCACTGGTTGGGGTCTTTTGGTTCGAAGGATTCATTTGATCGCACAGTCCTGATGGCTGCGAGGGTGGTGGTTGGGACCATGTAGCCGGTAGCCGTTGATTGTAGGTCACAGCACAGTGCACTGCCATATTCTCGGCCAGGGAGACGTTGCAATGTAAAATTGCCAATATGAAGGAACGCAGGAATGGCAGGGAAAGCAGGAAAAGGGTCTGTTTACACGGAGTGACCAAATCGGGCTTCCCGGAAATGCAGAAGTTTTGAAACTGAACTGGCGTTCCCTTGACTACCGAGTTCTCCAGTGGAGGAAATAGAGAACAGGCAGTAGGCCGTCTTTAAATATGATGCTTGCTAAAAAACAGGTTTCCAAATGAAGCCTCTAGTAATACGCTAGAACCGAAGTATACCGTTCTACCAGGAGGTTTTCTGCCTACCAGTCGGGCTTTTTAGCGGTCAGAAGACAAGCAATCAGTCCACCAACAAGGAATGCACGATAAAGCATAAAATCATCCTTTAACAAAAGTCTAATTTTTCTGTACATCCATCAGGACTGACAGATTAAACTATAGTGCTCAAACAAGTGCTGCCTTTATACTTGTTCATGCGAGATCTCAGTGCACAACAGGCCTCTTTAGCTTTCCTTTTATGGCTAACCTCAAGGTGGATGTACCTAAGCACCCAGAAATAGGCCCGATTATTTGTCGTTCCTGCTCCGCTTGCCAATGTTTGCTTTGGCAGTACTGGAACCTTCACTGATAGATTGTGGTGTCATTTGTTACAGCTTTGTAGAAATTGACAGAACTGAGGAAAAGACACGTAGGATAGAGAAACACTGTCGATGTGTTGTACCCTTTGCAAGATTGGCAACCTGTATCACTGTAAAACGATAAAAAAAAAAAAAAAAAAAAAAAACATGCTTGCTTTTTAAATTAGCTTTGTGTGAGGGTTAGTAATTACATATTAATGAGCAGAAGAGCTAAAGGGATAAAATTCCATCCGAAATCTTTCCCGTATCACGCGTGTATTTTAATTTTTGATATATCACAGCCTCATCACGAACACATCTCAGGGATGCTCCACGGTAAGGATGTCCCAAACACACCTAAACTAAATACTGGAGCCATTGGTAGCCAGATTCAAGGTGATTTTCTCATTAGCAAACAAGAAACTCCGAGCAGGGTTAAAAAGGTTCGCTTTCTGTCTTGGACAAGATACCTTTACAGAATGATTCTGATGTCTAGTTGATCGTGTGTTGACGCATTCACACACATTAGCATTGCGCGACTTCTGAAAAGACCAGAAATATAAGTTTACTTAGTGAACTTCGCGAGAGAAAGTGAGAACAACTCAAAATAAATTAAGTAACTCGAGGGCATACGTTCGGATGGCATGCATTATTCCGTCGGAAAACGGTCCCGCTCTTCTGGTGGAGACTAAACCGCTGTCAAGGATGGCAGCGCAAGGTCGCACTACGGAACGCACATAAATAACTTAAAATGTGCAGACGGCAGGACAGTTTGACAGGGGGATGTTATTCAAGGAGAAAACTACTTACTCTCAATTATGCGGTCTTTGCGAGCTCTGTCGTGGAATGTGCCGCGAACGTTGGGCATCAAGAACTTCCGAAAATTTCGTTTTCCATGGCGAACCTCGGACGTCGTGAAGCTGCGACATTGAACAAACGACAATTGCACGATTGGTTTTACACGAAAGCTCATTTTACCCCGCAGCTAGAAAACAAAAGCGATTTTCTCCAAAAAAAATAGCCACGCCAACCACGCCGACCACGCTACACGCTGCGCCGTACATACGTTTCTACGTTATGTTTTATATGCGGAAGGAGAGAAAAACAAAAATGCACGAGGGCATGCACGAGGGAGTCTGTTAGCTGCTGCCATCTATGAAGTGGAGCTTCAATTTGTTATTTTCATTTCTTTTGCAGACACCAGTTGAATTAATTCGTCAAAGAATTATGAAGTCGTATTGTCTAGCATAACACACTTTAAGTTTTAATAAATTGTACATAAAAACGTATTACAAGCTTCTATTTTATTATTATTTTTTTTTGGCTTTTGAGGTGCTTAAAGCAGCCGCCTAGGGACAGCACAGTCAGAGCGGCATCAAAGAAGCGATTACTATGGTGTTCTCTCTAGCCTTGTCACGTGACCGATGGACTGTGTGTGCGTTTGTGCTCGTCCGCACGGTCGCACGGCACGATCTGAAGGCGTCTGTGTGTGCTACGTCAGTGGGGACCTGTGTTCTGATGTGCCTGTGCGCGGATTAAATGTTCTTTGTGATGTCCATGGGCGAGACGGCGGATCTCAAAGACGGGAATCATTCCCGGACGGTCGACGGCGTCCAGGGCAAGCGCAACTCGGCGCACGAAACGTGAGTCCCCCGCGACTCTTTTGACAAAGGTCATTTCTCCCCACCACCTTGGAGGCGGCAACACAGCTGTAGCGCTCTGTCGCGCGCTCTGTTGCACTTCGTACATGTCGGCCTTTTGCTGGCGATACGCCGATACTGCGTGCGATCATACTCGGACTCTGTTCCTTCTTTATGCCGGCCGAGCATCGTAAGTTAGAAGTTCTCGTGTGGTCGCGCTGCGCTCTTGCGCGAGCCGCGTCGGCGGCCACCTTTGAGGCACCGGCGAAACGACGGCGCAACACCGGTGTGAAATCGCCGGCGTTACTATTCGTTTCACGGTGTTGCGACTTGGGCGATCTCGTCTTTGGGCACGCTCTCGGCCGCGTGATGCTCTGTTTCGCCAAGAGCATTCGTGACTTTCGCAAACGCACCGCTACGGGGGCGACTTTGCTCGTGTGTGGTTAGTTTGTAGACGCCGTATCGACAAAAAACATCCCCCGTTGAAGATGCTCTGGATCAATAGGGAGTTTTCGTAGAACGCGTTGCCTCCTCCGCTAAGCTTTCCGCAACGAAGAAGTTGCTACTGCGCCTGCGCGCTGATAGCCTTGACTGTGGAGTTCCCGCTGTCGTAGCGGGTTGCGGAGGGCCTTGCGGGACGGCAAAAACGATCTACGAAAACTCCCCAATGATGGCGATGACCGGAGGCGCGAGCTGGTGGTGGCGTCGAACACCTACTGGAAGCCGCGTTTTCCCCAGTGATTCGCCGAAATTTGCCCTTTACTTTTTCCTTGCGCTCTACTTCATCGTACCGCCTGTACGGTACACAGCGCGGCACAGTTAACGCGACATCGGCGGGCTTTCCGTCTGCTGTCGAGCGAACATAAAAATTTTACTGTGCCTGTACTACGTAAACATGTCCCACTACGCCAGTCGTTTTGATGTCAGATTTTAAGCCGTGAAAGATGGACTGGAAAGAAATAAACGCAAAACGACAATCACGTGTTTGTACTAACTGCGTCGTGCTCTGCTGCATTCAATCCACAGGCATTTCGCAACAAATGACTCCTTCATTAGCGTATCTTGTAAGATCATACAACCGTTGCATTTATTTCGATTTTGTAGCTTCTAGCAAGGACATTAAATCGAACCTGGTGAGACACCCTTTTATTTCTATTCTATTGAATTTTATGCATTTGTAGCACTACTCCATGAATTACACACGAAAAAAAAAAAAAAAAAGTCTGTTGTTTATATAAAATGAAATGTTGTTTGTGATCCCATACCTAACAAGGCAGAGTAAAAAAAAAAAATAGATATCAATTAATTTTTTGTATCAACGGGCCTGGTTGTTCTTTCGTAATCTCACATTTTCTAAATCAGAATCGCGTGGAGATCATTTGAAATTGTATCCATTATTATTAAGACCCAACAATGTAAACACAATTATAGCCTCTCCTCCCCCCACCCCTTTTTTTTTTTCTGATTTTTGTTTTTATCAGCTTGTATTTTTATCTTTATTAGGATGTTTGTCGGTCGTCATAACGGGGCTCGTTGCCCTGGTGAACGGAAGCGGGATAGGATGGCAGAGCTCGACCGAGAGTGCCTTCGGCGTGCGACCGAAGGGAAATCCCGTGTTTTCAATCTCGCCAACTCCTACTCGGAAAAGCGGATCGAAAGACAGCAGAAACACGAGCTGGCGAAATGTGGCAACAGTTGCAGCGTCGTTCCTTGTTCCATTCCGTGGTGCAATTGCGCTGTGTCAAAACAGGTGACGATCGTAATGTAGGACTTTTTCCGCTCGAACACGCCAACTGTGTCACGATTGCTTAAGTAATGTTAACGACACAGTTAATAGCAGTAGTCGCTACAATTAATTAATGTTTTATGACCCCTCCCCCCCCCCCCCCCCCCACACACACACACACACACACAAAGTCTCCCCCGTCGTGTGGTAGTTTATTGCGCACCATTACTCCCGTGGGATTTCTAGTGTAGCCCGACTTGCTGGAGTGTGCGGCCGTTTCGCTTGATTGATTCGGCTCCAGGGAGAGAAGGAAGTTTCCTCCTCTCCAGCATTCTGTTTGCTTCCTCCTTCCCAGCTCTCCTTTCCTTTAAAAACTTTTCTAAACAAGTGTGAGCGATCGGATTTACTGTTGTTAACCGCGATGTTGGGTGACTCGTTACAGTTTCACAAATGCGGTGACTGCAATTTACATTTATTTTTTTTATTTTAAGGGGGATTGGTGACTTTGTTGTAGCCTCATTGGGGTGTTTCACTGCCAAGAACTTCAGCCGCGTACCGCTCAAGTCGAACCTGGAGTTTTGGTTGCACGATTAAGAACGCCCACAGCAATGGTCGTCGATCATCCTACCTTCAGCTCGAAAAAAGTGTATTTGGCTCACAAAACGTTTTTTTTTTTTTTTTTTTTTTTGGCAGGCACTTGTTGAGTTTTAAGTATTTTATGGGGCAGCACTGCCAAGACTGTAAAATAACTGTATCCTGGGAAAGTAGCGCCAAGCTCCCCGAATGGTCGCCATTTTGGTTCATGGAATGGGCCGATCTAAATTCGCTGAAACAAGCGCACATCTTCGTACCGCCACCACATGCGGCGTCAGTGCGTGGATGCATTGAAAAATAATTTTCCTGTCTTGAAATACGCAAGTAGAGCAATATCATTGTAAGAGATCTGGGTGCATAATCCGAGGCTATGGTTGATTGCATGCACAGTGCCAAAGACGCTTCCATTGGCGAGGAGTGTATACGATGAAGCTTCATAGCGATCTTGGCGTGACACGACCCTTTCGAAGATTTCAATGGAGCAAAATGGCGTTCGCCATGACAACTGAGACAGATCAGCCAATCACCTTGCGAGGTTTGGTCGCCTGTATGTTGGTATTTGTGTGTGGCCGGCTAGTAAGCAGGGAAGGCAACGCCGTCACCTCTGCCTATATTAGACCTTGCTGAGTTTGAGCTTTTTTCCTCGGGGTCGTGCTTATCAGCGGCACCCTCTGATCGAACATGCAGCGAACCAACCGGCTTATGAAATGTGCAGCTTTTTTGTATGCGCGAGGGACTCCGGTTTGATTTATTAAGTAACTGTAACCGCGCGCGATGCCTTTCTTGGGTTGAGAGTAGCTTCTGCAACACTATCTTGAAATTGAACAAATGGGCAAACGATCATTTTCTGTTCGTTGCACGGTGTGAACATTTCCAGCGCCGATATATTCTCTCCAATTCCAGCTGCTTTCGCCGAATAAACAGTCGCCGCTACTGAACGAACTGTCAACATTACATGCCCCTTCCGTTACCTCAAAATCAAGAAAATAGAAATTTTCCGTTTTCGCTCTTTAGTGAGGAGCATGTGTCGTTGTTAATCTCAACCAGGGAGCTCCTATTCTCACAATGAAGAATTTGCTGACACCCGTAGTTTACGGCAAGGTATTTCGAAAGGAGATAATTTTCTCTGTTGTCGCAGAAGCTGTGTTCTCCTTTCCGTTGGTAGCAAGTCCATAAGATAAGGAAAAGAGACGCTGAGAGGAAACCAGAGATAAGCAACAATCGAACTCGATTGTATTGTGGACCCGTTCAGAGCGATATTCGTTGCGGCGATTAGCCGACGAACTTGGAGCGACGGCGCGTTCGCCCTGTGCGCGGCGCAACAGCGGGAATTCTGCGCAATATTGGACACATTGAGCAGGCTTTCCCTGATAGCGGTCAGAAAGGATAAGGCATCTGTCATCTTTTTGCTGCAAATGAACTGGTGTAGAAACTCGTGCTTACAGAGGGAGCGTCAAACCCGCAAATATCCGGTAGGAAGGAAATCTCAATTTATTGGCTCAGCCTCCAGCTATATTTTATTTATTTATTTATTTATTGAAAGTATCCTCAGGGCCCGAAGGCATTACAGAGTGGGGGAGCACATACATGAAACAAAGATAGTAAAATAGTAACAAGTCAACAATATTAAATATACAACAAACAAAGGAAAACAGCAGGTCATGGGTCACTGCTAAAATAGTTAGTGATGGAATTTCTAAACAGGTTGGTATCAGTTATTGTAGCAATCAACCTGGGGAGGCGGTTCCATTCCTCGGCTGTGCGGGGTAAAAAAGAAGATTGAAACGTTGTGGTAAATGAACTTGGAACTCCAACTTTGTGCTGATGGTCAAGACGGGAAACGGGATGACATGTAAAAGGGGGGGGGGGGGGGGGGGTAATTATATGATTGAGCAGGAGAGGATTATGAAAATACATTTTATGAAATAGACGTAGGCATTAAATTTTACGTCGCAAGGAGAGAAGGGGTCAACATAAACTATTTTTCATCGATGTGACACTAGCAGTACGATGGCAGTTGGAAAGAATGAAATGAGCTGACCTACTCTGAATGGATTCCAATGCAGTGACTAGAGTATCGTGACCGGGATCCCAGATGGAGGCTGCATATTCTAATTTAGGTCTGGTTAATTCTTTGTAGAGGATCAATTTTAGTG